AGGCTGCAAGTCACGCCAATTAACTCACAGCGAACCACTTTTTTAATGCTGTAAAATGATAGATATTAAGGAGAAGTACCTCTTTTAATCGGAGGGTGCGGAAGTGATGCTGATCTTCTGTGCTGGGTTGTTGGAACGGAAAGTCGTTGCTTACTGCCTCTTTCGTTATCCTAAGGTTCCTCTTTCGTTATCCTAAGGTTCCTCCTAAGGTGCCTCGGACTTGGATAACAGCGGAGAAAGTAACATCCATTTTTTTACACCGGGAACCCATTGAATATAAAAAAAAAGGGATTAATACTTTTGTGCACATGTATGTTACAAGCAGAAGGAAACAGCTCCGACCCCATAAAGTATATATATTCCTGATCCGTCCGTCGATTTGTATGATTGCGTCGATCTCAGATTCTATAGAATCCAGAGACTTGAATTTTGAAGTGCCCTCCTCCTCCTATTGCTCGCGTAGTACTAGTTTAATACCGAAAATCGATAGCTTACCCGTTTTCAGGCAATCGATAAAAATAGATAAAACAAGTAAGAGGTTCTAGTCGGGAGCTCCCGACTAGGGGATACCCTGAACCCTTCAACACCAAATACAGCTCAAGCTGCGCGCTCGTTTGCTTTAGTAGTAATAAAGATAAATTTAAAAAAAACAAGGAAGAGGTTCTAGTCGGGAGCTCCCGACAAGGGGATACCCTGAACCCTCTTCTTCAGATAGGCGATAGGTATAAAATGAAAAATACTATATATGTAAATATATACTATTCTAAAAGCTATATGTCAAGTTTTGTGATTTTAGCTCTTATTATTTACCAAAATTGCTCAAAAACCAGGATTTCGATATTTTTATTTTATTGATTTTTATCGATTACTTGGAAACGGGGCAAGTTATCCAATATCGGAAACAAACTCGATCTGCGCAGGCACTAGGAGGACCTACAGCTCAAATTTTAAGTCTGTAGCTCTTATAAAATCTGAGATCCTTGCGTTCATACATACGGACAGACAGACGGACAGTCATGGCTAGATCGACTCGGCTATTGATGCTGATCAAGAATATATACACTTTATGGGGTCGGAGATGCTTCCTTCTGCCTGTTACATACATTTGCACAAATAAATTATTTAAAAATCACATTATCAGGGAAAATTGCTTAGGTTTTTATGGATATAGTCACAAAATGGGCTGTTATCGGTGCTGACTTCCGCCGGGCGGTCGTCTATTAATACGATACCATCGTTGACTACTGTGATCGTATTCAGATAGATGGATTGGGCAATGCCACCCGTATGTAAACCTTTGGCGCATGAGCCTTTGTCTGTTAGTTCATAAAACGTTGCAATAGTTGTTGGCCTGCGGCTTATGACCACGACTATCTCAGAATCGCACTCAACCACGGTGTTGTTAGATAGGAAAACTTGATATAAGGGTATTTAATAATGTGTACTACATCGATGAATTGAAAAACATTAATAGTAGTTACTTCTCATCAACAAAAACTGATTTTAAGCCTTCCTGGGCCTTAATGAACGGATTTATCATGTCTGATTTGGCAAGAGTGCTAGTGAGCATTCAATTTTGGATCTCGGTAATCAACATTCTATTTCTTGCTAATGGGACTCCAAGCAGGTGACCAGTATCTATTTCTTTTTTTTTGTGAATTTCAAAACATGTCGACAGTGTCAGTCAACCGATTTATTTGCTTTTGTGTCTGTGAATTTATTTTTATCTGTCTATTATTTGACTCTGTCAAAGGGGCCTCCCTTATGTTAATGTGTTCTAAAGTCCCTAGCGTCTGAAACCCTTGCCACGATTCTTAACGCGGTGCCTAAGAAATCCTAACTTCTTGCCATCCTATGGTGAATAGTTAGAGCGGAGAACTGGGTTCTAACGGGGGTCGTAGCTATCGAAAGTAACTTCTGCATGTGCGACCTACTGTTCTCAGAGAAACATCTCTCCATCTCCTATCAGAATGTAATCAGCGTGGGAATAGTTGGTGATCCCGGCGTGAACAAGTACGAGGAAAGTAAGCAACGCAGATAATTACCCAAATACGTAGAGTAAAAGTTACATGGGTGCTGGCTTAAATCTTAAGAAATAGCGCATAAATGAGTTAAAATTATAAACGAATGCCTATTTTGGGTTTGCCTTGTGTACCACCCTCCCTTGCTTCGACGGACAAAGAAGATGGATTAGATTCCCATGGTAAAACAAACCGATTATTTGCTTGATGACGTAAATTGGCCACTTATGAAGTGTAATTAACTTAGAATAGCGACGAAAGTGAAAGCTAAATTGAAGGAAACAAGTACCTTGGGTACCGGGCCGCTAATCTTGCTTCTTACAATAATCACTGGCTGGTTAAGGCGAGAGCTGCCATTTAAAGGCTTGAAGATTTTATAGGCGGGGGTGACTGCCTGACGCCATGGGACGTAGGCTTCATTTAAACCTACAAATTCTGGCAGACATTTGACCATGTCTAAGGGCTCGTGACATTTGATGCCTTCCATGACCTGAACGATTTCATAAACCTCCATTTCCGGCAGCATTATGCTTCTAAGTCTACCTGTAAACTCTCTTATCTGAAGTTATTACGGATATGATCATTGTGTGCCGCTTGCCCAACTAAGGCGCTAAAAACTGCCCTGTGTATAACTGCATGCTGCTATACTGAATACTCCTTATTTAATCTTTCATAAGCTTTTGGTGCTTGGTGCAATATGCACATTAACAGCTCTGTATTATTGAAATAAGATGGAACGCCTTTGTAAATTGAAAAGTCAATGGCCGTTAAGTTCTTGTCAGTAGCCCATTAGTATCCATGATGCGACGAGAGACTGACTGCAACTGTCTGATACCTAGCTGTGTTATCTGAGCTATGTTCGTAATATTGCAGGTGCGTGTAGATTACAATAGCTAGACTATTAGAGAGGTATTTGGCGGTACGAAGCTTAAAGCCAAAAACCTTGAAATAAAAGTGACTTTTCCAATTCGACTTTCCTGAACCTATTGGCGTTCTAAAAGGAAACATGGAAAATTTATTGGCAAACCCCAAGCGAAAGACTGGTTTGATTGTCGATTGCTCTGGTCATCCCTATCGTAGATGACCGGCAATCGAGAACCATTTACCCACGTCCACTAATCCGTTTCTTTTTCTTCGCTCGAGACATCCTCATTCCCTACGTGGACTTGGAGTACAACGCAGATTGACCTCATGATCCTCTGGAACAACACTGAAGCCAAGATGGACCTAAAGAGCACTTCAGATAGGAAAACGATCGATTGTTTGACTAGACAAAACGAACTCAGAGGCTTGATGCCGCCGTTGTTCTGCCCACTGCTGCTCCTTGGGGTCCATCCTTCTGGTTCTGCACCAGGACAAAAATGCCGGGGATCCGCCGACCACTCTGGTTCGAGAGCTTCGTGGACCAGCCTGGCGCTCTCGACGTGAATTCCTTTGGTGCTGGAACCAATTGTTTCAATTTGTTCTTTATTTAATGGTGTTTTCTTAAGTTGTTGTTGTTAAAGTTATAATTGTGTACTAAAGAATTTTAATTATTATGGCGGCGGGATAAACTTCATAAACTTTTATATTTTGGATCGACACTTTTTATACCCTGAACCCAATTAAAATGGGTAAATGGGGTATAATGTATTTGTGCAAATGTATGTAACAGGCAAAATAAAGCATCTCCGACCCCATAAAGTATATATATTCTTGATCAGCATCAATAGCCGAGTCGATATAGCCATGTCCGTCTGTCTGTCCGTCCGTCCGTCCGTATGTATGACTGAAAGGATTTCAGAACCTATAAGATCTAGAGACTTGAAATTTGGAACGTAGGTTACCGTTAATCGATAACTTGACCCGTTTTCAAGAAATCGATCAAAAAGAAATATGAATCCGGTTTTTTGAGTATATCTCTTAGGTTTTTAAGAGCTAGAGTCCACAAACTGGACAAATAGCTTATAGAATAATATATATTTATATATATATCAAGTATCTTACATTTTATAGATATCGCGCAAATTGCCAGAATTTCTGAATACATGTAAATACACACGTTCGTACACGTCTTTATTGAATTTAAACTTAACCAAGTGCGTTTGCGCACAACAGTCTTTTACCACCACTCAAATTCGACTCCCCGTTGCCATGGCTATCAACGAGATCGATGCAGAAATCTGCTTACGCATACACGCAAATTTTCGTCAGTTGCTGCCCATGGGTACAACTGTATATGTCGGTCAACGACCGTGAAAGGCCAAGGGCCTCCTAAAGGCACGGGGTTTCGCTCATCCCCCTCCGGGCGAATCGGGAGGGAAATCGCCAAATTTCTCCCACCTTTTTCGCTCAATGCCGTAGATCGCATTTACGAGATTCTCTACGCTCACATGAGCTAAGTGTTATCAGTAGGGGACTACAATTTTATATAGCTCTATGGTAATACAGCAATCGGTCAAATTTGGTTTCTTATATAAAAACGTCATTTAGCAATGTTTGTAATCGTATTTAGTCTTTAGCGGGAAAAAGACATGCCTCTTTCTTGTTGTATTCATATTTCTTTGTTGCTTGTGGCAATTTTGCATTTTATTTGATGTGGCTTATAGTAACAATAAAAATGTTTTTATTCTTCAAGATTATCTAATAAAATTTTTTGACTAAAATAATTTAACAAATGGTTTTCACTGACCGGTAATATTGTATGAACTAAATTTTAGGCTTGCCGGTTCATGTTGATCATAATACTCAACAACAATGAGGTATAAGCACAAAAAGTTAGCAAGCCGTCTGTATTGTTTCTTCAAGAACCTCCCAGTTCAATCACTATCAGACTGCTATCGGATCTTGGTGTGCATGCCCAAGCAATAACCCATTGAGCATAATAATAATAATGAAAAGACAATAAGGCCAGCAAAATGCCTATCTTTGTGTGTTTTTATTCTTCTTTCTTTTTAAATATAAAAAAATCAAACCAAAACCAACCAAAGAAACATATAGTTTGAAAACTGTACGGAAATGTTAGTTTTATTTGGTAAACGACTGGAATAAAGATGCCTCGCCAGTATATGTATTTACCATATGTGATGTATTTTCACATGTGATATATTTTTACATGTGGTAAATACATAAATAACATTTGTTTTATTATATGAAAATGACAATGCTGACGAGCTCAACGCTGTAAATGGGCTAATAAACTTGCTGTATCTTCTTATGTTAGCTCATCTTGTAAACCATCGATGTCGGCCATCTTGTTGGACCTATGTTTAGAAAGTCAATCGTCGCCACCCTGGCTGGAGCTTTGCGACTTGGAGCTGGAGGTCATATTATACATTCCATCAAGATCCTGGCTGCGCCGATACCTGTGCGAAAGAAAAATGAGTTATCGACCAGGACTCAGACTTCCATGTTGTTATACCTACGTGCTTACAGACTTGCTATAAGAGGATATAGCTGGGCTTTCTGGGTTGTTGCTATTGTAGCTGTTACTGTCATTGTCAGGCTCGTTAATGTTCGAGTTGTTGTATATATCGCAATTGTCTAAGAACTCAGATCGTATAAACGTGTTTAAATCATTATCATTATCATTATTATCTACGTAGTCTTGCTCGTTATCCCGTTCCTGCTGCGACTCTACCATACATAGCCACTGCGAGTTGTGGTTACGAAACTTTTCTAGCTGTGGGGGACAACAAAATAGTAATGATGTTGTTGTTAACATGTTGATGTATATAAGAGAGTAAGAATAAACTTAAGGATATTTTTACTATGTGCAAGCATATGCATTTATCAGATATGAATGTACTTAAAATTGATCTATTACTATATATAAATAGCCCTCTTCCGACTAATTGATGAAAGTACAGCCTAAAAAGTAAGAGCTGGCAAGCAAAGTAACCTTTTTTGAACCGTAACAATATTGGATTTTGACCATAGGGATTAAAACTGAAGGATAATGGTAGTAATCTGTTTATAGAATTGTATGTAATAGGCAAAAGGAAGCATCTCCGATTTATTGATTAAAATTTGAATTGATCTAGAAATTTTCACATTTACGTGTATACTAACATACTTTTTAAGCAATATTGTGGGTTAAGTTTACAGACACCATTTTTTTTATACCATATGTTCTCAAATAGTATGCCTCACCCAAAAGTACACCCTTTTAGGCCAAGCCTAATGTTAAGGAACCAATTAAACTATAGATTTGTTAGTATTAGTATATTTTGAAACTAATTTTTTACCATCTGAGTGTACGGGCACATTGTTTTTGGCTTGTTGCCGCCATTACTTAAGTGAAAATCTCTTTACTGTCGTGAGTTAGAAAACTGCGGTAACATTCTTAGGGAATATACATATAATTTCTAAACTATGTAATTGATTAAAAAAAAAAAAAAAAACTGCAAATACTTGCACTACATACGCTGACTCCATCAACATCGGGAGTAACATGACCAGGGGCCAGGCGTAAGCCTTGCAGTGTTCAAACTGCAAATTCCACCTTCACTTGGCACGCTACACCTAATATAAATAGCAGATCCAAACGCCAGATTATTCTATAATGCCAATCAGTTAAGCTGCGCTATCACAATATTAAAAAAGGTTGGTGGTCTCAGTCTACAGTATACATATAATGTATAATATAGTGAGAGCAGTTACAAATGTGTAAGTCGGCTTCGCTATTAGAACATAACCACATTAATATTTTTTTTAATTTATTTATTTAAACTCTGTCATTGGACAGAAACAGTAAGTAAATTTAGATTGCTAAAATTAAAATTAACAGGAAGAAAAAGATTCTAGAGAAACCTACTATTATATATTATTTATTCCGTATGTTAGGTTGAAGTTGAACTTATTTTATTTATGTATCCGGTAGATCTTCCTACTGCTTACGATCAGCCAGGACATTCGTTGTGTTTTTAATTTAAGATGCTGCCGTTTTGCTTTAATATATTTATTTCTATGTAAGAGATCGATATACAAGCTATGATACTTCACACAGCTGCTTTGCGGAACTGCTAGGCCGGTAAAAAACTTCTGGATAATCGCCCTTTCTTGGTGCAAATTCTTCTTCTATAATAGATAACATGGTGCAGGTCGCCGTTACCTTATTTTGTATAGGATGATTTTATGATAAACTCGATCAAACTCGGGTTGAACGTCGAGAAATGATGCAGAACCCTATTTTTTTCAAAGGCTGTTATGATTTGACAAATATCTCCGAGGCCTCTTCTAAATCCAACTGTTGTTTAGGAATGGTAGCAAGTTCGTCCAAAACTGGCAACATTTTCTTTACAAGTAATTTTTTTATAAAGTGATGACAATATAGGCTAATAGGACGGGAAGACGGAGTCAAAAAGTAAAGTTAGACGAGATCTTGCATCCCGGTTTGCTTGGCTTATGGATCATGATTATCTCTGCGAATGTATTTTGGAGGGAGATTTTTTATGGTTAAGCCAACAATTTTGTCCGAGCCCGGTAGTTTTTTATTGTTTATGCATTTTATCTCTGTTGCAACTTTCTTAAACCGAAAGTGACTATCAATTCTTATTTTCTCATTTGGCAGGGAGAGTTAAGAAAGCTTTCTACTTTCCTTTATATTAAAGTGTCAGTGTTCGCACATAAAAAAAAAATAAATATCATTTGTCTGAAATAAAGAGTTCAAATGCTGCCCAAATGCCATTTCTTTTACGAACTATTATGTTGCTCTTATCAGGTCGTTCAACACATTTAGTCGCTCTCTTTAGATTGTGCCCGTTGTTGCACTAATCGAGGTCTTGATTTCCTATGTTTGCAGCGACAGATTTATTTTTCGAATCAGACAGCAATTTCGTTTTTGCCTATAGGATTGTAACCGAATTTCAGCTGAAGTTGAGGCGACTTATACATACAGCAGTCTACCTCCACTTCTGTTTTTAACGAAGTTTCCAACTTAATAGTTGTTTCTTTATAGTTTTGTCTGTTGTTGCAGAGTTTATTTTGTATGGTTTCAATAGTATATGAGCTATAGTACCGTACGTCACTATTATTGGAGAATGGTCTAAACAAAGATATAAAACATTTTGCGCATGTATGTATAGATTTGATCTCAACGGTGGCAGCTTGCATGGCGTATTCTCTGGTGCTGTCCATAATTTTAAGCTTTAGACAATTTTTAATGAGAATAGCAGCGTCCCCAGGAGCTCTACCAACCAGAATGTCCACTCTGACAATTTCTTACATGTTTTAAATATTATCATGATATCTTAATCGGTTACAATTTTGAGAATAGACTTATTTCAATTACATGGTTGGAAAGCCTATTGGCATTCCATATTCTGATGTTAAGATTTCCTTGCATAACTAATTTATTATCACATGATCATGTTAAGTAAATTATTAGTGAGTTTTAATTAGTTTTCTATTAGATGTTCTATTCTCTCAAGTGAGATATTTATATCCTGAAGTAATTTGGATATAGGTTTTATTATTGTTGGGTTGAGGCTGATTCATTTGGAGCAAAACTTTGTGATATTCCGTAGACGTTTTAAGGACCTTTATGAACTTCAAGACCGTTGACACATTTTCCCGGTAATTACTTGTCTTTGGGGCAACTGTTACTTCGATGTCTATGAGTGTCTTACACACCTTATAAATGTAGCACAATAAGATTTTGTGTGTAAAAAATCCTTTATAACAGTAGCATTTCACTTGGTCCTTGGTTTTGCGAGGTGGCCCTATATTGACAACAGTATTACTAATGCGCTCCAGATTATACATATCCCCAATGTTATGTTATATCTGACAACATGACTTTTCCACCCTACTTCAATTTATATTAATGCTTGATATCATCTTTAATTATCATTTCAAGTGTTTCGTTCTCGTCATCTTCGTTCCTATTTTTATCCGGTATGCTTTAGCAACTTTGTAAGAACTGGTGCTCGGTGTAGTGTCCAGAGCATTTTCTTGCCACTGTAGGTGATGTTTGGTTTAATCATTTCTTTCGTTTTTTGTTTTATCTCTGCCAATGCCAAACTGTTGGGTCTTCTTTGTTGTCACTCATGTTGAAGCAACAGAGTGTCAAAAGTTTATTGATGCTTATCAGTAGTCAATGATTTGTTGCTGCGTCACAGTGAGAGAGCAGATAAGCAATTAATGCATTCAGACTGAGGGCTAAGACGAAAACAACAAAGTTTAGCAGAACTAGATAAAGTAAAGGCACGTAATCGAACGCGACTACCATATTCATGCCATCCAAATATTTGTATATGTTAACCACTGACTCCCAGGGAGAATGGCCGCATAGAGTTGAAGCACTGTTTTAGTGGTGCCTGTGGTGGTACCTGTTGGTGCTGCCGACGCTGCAATGTTTTACTGCAGCAACGATGACAGCGCAGCCTACGATCCTTTAACAGTAACTAATAATAAAAACATAACAAGTAAGGGTGCCCTAGTCGGAAGTGCCCGAGTAGGGGGCCTAAACCTTTTTCTACCTACATCAAATGCAGATCCCGCATTTCAATCAATACAACGAGGTGGAGAAAAATCGCACCTTATTGACAAATACGGTCAACCTGTCGTACGATTGTGCTTTAGGGAATGGTATGTGTGAGAAATGTAGAGGGGACAGCCTCCGGGCATTTATCTCCGGGCTTTGGAGAAATCTGACAGATGCGCTGTGTGCGGCGCATCCCCCAGATTTGCCACCCACCCTGGCAGGGAATAGAGGCAATTCATGACAAAACAAGTAATCCCAAAACAATACACGTGAATCAGAATCCGCAGAGTCAATGGATGTAGACGCTTCTATATCAAAGTTCAGGCACCCCACTGCCCATCAGAAACAACAAGGTTTGGAGAAGCAAAGCTTAAATCCGTGGGCAGTAAAGCAGTAAAGCGAGTAAAGCATGAAGCTCAAAGTCCGGGGCTTACGACAATGTGGCATCAGAAATGGCACACGAAATAAAAGATAAATCCGAGTACGTGGATGAAGATATGTATTAAATTTTTAGTGAAAGGTCCCTTAAATCCTTTATCGAATCCTTCCCATAATTAAAAAACATGGTCCGTGTAGATTCCACTTTATTCACGGATTAAAAAAATCTCACAAATATGCGTGTTACAAATATTTGGCAGAGGCAGCCCATAATTGTATTCATGCATGCACTTTGAAACTCTTTGTAACAATCATAAATGTTGCCATTGACAACAATAATATATTCAAAACATTAGCGGAAGTCAGTGACACGATCAAATATCATATGATCGGCCACTTGAGGGTTGACCGTCTTACTGCATCAGTGCTGACCATGCAGGCCAGAGGAGAATGCCCGGGACCGCTGTCTACGAGAAGTACAGAGCTGCACGCACACTAATATTTTAACGTAACAATATACGTATGAGTACTTGCACCCTTTCAAAGGGATATTACTAGATGGTGTTTCCAAAGAGTCCATCTAAAACTAAATGTAACCATGACAACGATAGTAATCAAGTACCGTGAGGGAAGTTTGAAAAGAACTATGAATAGTATGTGAAACTGCACAGAGGTTAAACCCAATGATCCTGAATACCCGTTGGAATATCGAGAATTAATCAAAAGAATTGTAATAGTTTAAACAATAATAAAATTATGTTGTAAATTTTTTGCATAAAGGGACATAGTAATCTATTAGCATAATTATTATTATTTATCATACAATTACAGATTGTTGG